AGTGCATTCTTATTTTTTTGTAGTGAGGAAGGTAGCATCATATTTCCATTCTCTAAATGTAGCCGAATAAAGATTCTAAAGATTATGTGAAAAGTCCTACCGCCAGACTAGCTAAAAATACGCCACAACGTTGTCAGTGCAAGGTTCCCTCGAAAGACATTTTTGTCGCAGTTAGTACAAGACTTGAGATCATAGGGTGCCAAGACCCATAGATCACTTCCAACTTGGGATACACTGAAGAGGAGTTAAAGGATTAATATGTAAGCCGGTATTTGGTGCATTAATGTTTGCTACAAGAATAATAAACCTAATCCCAAAATTGTAAATTTGTCATGATATGTCTACCTAGCGTATAGAACCTTACGTCGAAGCCACATCGTCCCTACTGACTCGTCCTACGTGATAGTCGGCAATATGATGTTTAACAATTCAGAAGTACACATCTAGGTTGGGAAAAGAATAATACATTTAATATGAAAATAAATAAGTTACACTGAATGGCGAGGCGTGCATGGCCGAGTCATGCCATACTGACTCCATCATCCCTGACCTTCTCTGGGTGTTAAATGTCGAATGTAAGTATTCCCGGTTATCGTATGCACGTAATGATGGATCGTGTGGTTGAGAACGAGTACCACTACAGCGTTATCTAGGTTGTACACGTAGTCTGCAACATGTCTCGGACCAATTTACATTTTGTAGTATTGTGAGTAGGTCCGTTGTTATCTGATAAACCTTAAAGACGATCCAGGTGCTCCCCAAACGCCGGCTTATCACCTTGGTTGCAAACTTCTCTTTGAAGCATCACAACGCTAGCGACAAGCAATAAATCAGACGATACTTTCTGAGGAAGGGCACCCATATAATCTAAAGGGAGAAGAGGTCCCGGTAGTGAACCCCGAGGAATCCCACAGTGACATTCTGTTGCCTGAGAAAAAAGGACGCTTACCCTGACCCTAAAAGTCGATTAGTTATGTATGAAGTAAACCAATCTATCAGTGATGAATTGATACCCAGACGTTCAAGCTTATTGATAAGACATGCATGATTGACCCTACCAAAAGCTCTTGAGAAATCAAGATATATGACATCAACCTTCCTCTTGCTATCAAAGATGGTTTTCAATTGGTTCACCGTGGTCAACAGGTTGATTATACAGAAATGATCCTCATTGAGACCGTGTTGTTAGGGTACAAAGAAGTCTGTGGTCTCTTAGACCGTTGTATATCTGGGACCCCGTGATTTTTGGGGGTATTGAGAGAAATGCAATCGACAGATAGCTTGAATGTTTATAGTGTAGCAGTGATCAAATCCCAAAACTCAATAGCTCTGTAAGTCTTGGACATTTGATGTAGACCGAATTAGTTTTAATGCACTCACCTATCTGAAGGCACTCGGCCACGCATTCGCACCAGATCACTAGTGGGAACGGTCGAAATGTTTGAAACTACTGTTCTGCCAGAATTTCGGGGGTATCATTGTCGTTGTTGGCTGAGACATCAAGACCTAACAACTAGAGAACTTCGCTTTTAGCATTTAGAAGAGGAACTTCATGACGAAACAGGCCTTTCGGACTGGAGACAAATTTATCGATTAGTTTTATCTGATACCGTGCTCTGTCTCCGCTTATCGCCTTTGTGCATTGCTTCCTTGCTCGTTTGAACCGCCTATAAGTGTTGTCGTGACTGGTTCGTTTGCAATTCACCTAACAGTACCTTTAGAGTCTTAACATTAAAAGAGTGCGATGATTTATGACTATACGCTGCTTGTAATTTTAGAGGACTGTTTGAGGGACAGACTGGTTTGTAGCTCGTAAGATCCTGCACAGTAAAAAATCCCATTAAGCGTTCAAGCTATTGTTATTACTATTATTAAATTGAGGATGCACTTCCCAGTCCACGTGCTGTAGATCGTTCTGTAAATCCGGCACATCTTAAACTTTGGAATTCGAATGCCTGTTGTTAGTAGGATGTTTTAGCTTAGGTTTGCTGGTAAGATTGAAGGCTATGATGGCACGATCACTTCTCGACAGAGTCAGGATGGAGAGGTTGTCAACCAGGAATGACGACATTAAAGATCAATTCTACGAGCGCATGCAGTTAATCATAGAGAAGTGCCGAAGAAAGGACCTGACCATTCTGGTGGGAGATCTAAATGCCAAAGTCGGGATAGGCAACACCGGATATGAAGATATCATGGGACGACATGGGTTGACTGGGAGAGAAACGAAAATGGGGAAAGATTTGCAAATCTATGTGTATTCAACAGATTGGTCATAGGCGGCACAATATTTCCACACAAACGTATACACAAGGCTACATGGATCTCACCGGACCACACCACAGAGAACCAGATAGATCATAATTGCATCAATAAAAATTCCGAAAGACAATATAAGATGTGAGAAGCAGGAGAGGAGCTGACATAGCTTCAGATCACCACCTAGTTGTAGCCAATTTAAAACTGAAGCTAAATAAAAACTGGACAACTGGACAAACAGCATTACAAAGGTTCAATACAGCCTTCCTTCGAGATACTGACAAACTCAGTGAATTCAAGATAGCTCTCAACAACAGGTTTCGAGCCTTACAGAATCTACTGAAGGAAGAAGAAACTACTATGGAGGACAACTGGAAAGGTATCAAAGAAGCATTGACTTTAACGTGTCAAGAGGTTCTGGGCCTAAAGAAGCATCATCATAAGGAATGGATCTCGATAGAAACATTGGACAAGATCAAAGAAAAAAAACAAGAAGACAGCAATTAACAACAGCCAAACACGAACAGAGAAAGTCCAAGCACAAGCTGAATACATAGAAGCAAACAGGCAAGTGAAGAAAAGCATTAGACCCGACAAGAAGAAATACGTGGAAGAACTAGCAACGACGGTGGAAAAAGCTGCAAGGGAAGGAAATATGAAACAACTTTACGATACAACGAAGAAACTAGCAGGGAAATACAGTAAACCAGAGAGACCAGTCAAGGACAAAGAAGGCAGGCCAATCACTGAAATTCAACAACATCGGAACAGATGGGTAGAATACTTCGAGGAACTCCTGAATAGGCCGGCTCCAATGAATCCACCGGACATCGAAGCAGCACACACAGATCTACCTATAGATGTCAACCCACCAACGACGGAAGAAATCAGAATGACCATCAGACAAATCAAGAGCGGGAAAGCAGCAGGACCCGACAACATACCAGCTGAAGCACTGAAGTCAGACATCGAAGTAACTACAAGCATGCTTCACCTTCTGTTCAAAAAGATTTGGGAGGAGGAACAAGTGCCGATGGACTGGAAAGAAGGACACCTCATCAAGACTCCAAAGAAAGAAGATCTGAGCAAATGTGAAAACTACAGAGGCATCACACTACTGTCAGTACCAGGGAAAGTCTTCAACAAAGTGTTGCTGAACCAGATGAAGGATGCAGTAGACGTCCAACTTCAAGATCAAGAAGCTGGATTCCGTAAGGATCGGTCGTGCACAGACCAAATTGCAACACTACGGATCATCGTCGAACAATCAGTTGAGTGGAACTCATCACTATACATCAACTTCATTGATTATGAAAAGGCATTTGACAGTGTAGACAGGAGGACGTTATGGAAACTTCTTCGACACTACGAAGTTCCTAAGAAGATTGTCAATATTATCCGAAACTCATACGACGGACTACAATGCAAAGTCGAGCATGGAGGACAGCTGACAGATGCATTGCAAGTAAGGACTGGAGTCAGACAAGGCTGTTTACTCTCTCCCTTCCTCTTTCTTCTGATGGTCGACTGGATTACGAAGACCTCGACATTTAAGGGAAAACGCGGAATACAATGGACAGCTCAGAATCAATTAAACGATTTGGACTTCGCAGATGACCTAGCCCTCCTATCGCTTACACAAGAACAAATGCAGATAAAAACAGCCAGTGTAGCAGCAGTCTCTGCATCAGTAGGATTCAGCATACACAAAGGGAAAACCAAGGTCCTCAAATTCAAAGTGGAGAACAGCAATCCAATCACTCTTGATGACGAAACTTTGGAAGATGTAGAATCCTTCACATACCTGGGAAGCATAATCGATGAACAAGGAGGTTCAGATGCAGACTTAAAGGCGAGGATTAGCAAAGCAAGGACAGCATTCCTACAGTTGAACAACATATGGAACTCAAAACAAATTTCAACCAATATCAAAGTGAGAATCTTCAATACGAATGACAAGGCAGTTCTACTGTATGGAGCTGAAACTTGGAGAACTACAACAACCATCATCAAGAAGGTGCAAGTATTTATAAATAGCTGTCTACGCAAGATACTCAACATCCATTGGCCGGATACCATCAGCAACAGCCTTCTCTGGGAGAGAACAAACCAGCTTCCAGCTGAAGAGGAAGTTAGGAAAAGACGATGGAAATGGATAGGACATACACTACGCAAATCGTCAAACTTCACCACGAGACAAGCCCCAACTTGGAATCCTGAAGTAAGGCGGAAAAGAGGAAGGCCAAAGAACACATTACGTCGGGAAATAAAAGCAAATATGGAGAGGATGAATGACAACTGGAAGGGGCTGAAAAGGATTGCCCAGGACAGGGTCGGATGGCGAATGCTGGTGAGCGGCCTATGCTCCTTCACGAGGAGTAACAGGCGTAAGTAAGTAAGTAAGTTCAATGAGGTTGAAGAACTGAGCTTCAGTAGAGCTATCACTTCCAATGTACATACGCTCGTAGAAATTGACTTCATGAGGATTGAAGTGTCTTAAATGGAGAAAAGAGTGTATCCGAGATGAATAGAGTGGGATAATCTATCCAGAGTACGTTTGTCGTACTCGGTGTCAGCAATAGGCTTCCTAGACACTTCGAGGTGTTGGACAAACCCACTAAAAATGTATGTGATGCTCAAATTTTGGTCAAATAAATGATAGGCAAGACGTCACTAACCAAAACTTAGTCTTTTATGCTAACTGCTTGGAAAGGTTTAACGACTGGAATTGAACACAAAACATGGTTGCTTGTTTATATGACTTTCTCCGCCTATTTATTTTCGTACGACCTAGGGTGGAGAGTAGAGCGTGGTTGGTGTCGCACGCCACTTGTGGTAAGGTTTCGGTAGCCGGTGATATGTTATTCATGATGTTTTCCAGTTCTGCTATTGATGCTTATGAAACGAACTCTTTGTCCCTGATTGTCTATCGTTACACGGTGTTTTATCTCATTGTAGGGTCTAAGAAAATAATAGCCATACGGGCTATGTTTCCTCCAGTCAAATATATAGTGGGAAGAGTTCCAAGTTACTCGTGAGAATCTTCAGTGAATGATGAGGAAAAGACTGGCTGGATAAATGCATCTCGTAAGTACTTTTCTATATGTATTAAAATGATGTTGACTATTCTACTGGACTCGTGTCCGCACACGCCCCTATCTGAAGCTTGTTCCGTAACCTGGGATTTTTTTGATTACCCTTAGGTGGTTGCTTGGTCTTCGCATGCACCAAATGGTTGATGGTCAACTTTCGCGAGATTAGGTAAGCTTTATTAATTTTAATGATGTCGCATAGTTCATATGATAAACATGAGTCGATATAGCTTCACTGATAATTTCTTGAACCATTAACGCATCTTTTCACTTTTCAGAACGCCGTCTGCTGTGATCGTCCCGAGAGACATCAGAGGGGTGCGAAAAAAAAACATGGTAAGATATCGCTGAGTTCTTTGGCATACCAAATGATGTTCCGTGTTTCAATTGATCTTGTGATTTTAACCTCTCTACTGACAATCTCACTTACCAAGTTTTTCTATTTCCAGATAAGGACTTGACTGTCGACTCGATCGTCTAAGGTGAGTAAATGAAATGATGTGACACCTCTTGAATGATACGCGATTACATTCCTCGTCTGATTTTGCAAATACCTGTCAGAACTAAGTGTGTTGTGTTTCCATTTTAGGTTAAATCAAAGTCCGGGGACGTCCATTTCCGACGAGGCATCATGTACCTTTGGTTTGTGTGATAAATATGATCAGTCACTTTGGTTTCGTTCTTACTTAGTTACTGTGGGAGCAGGGTTTCCAACTTCCTAAGTTCTTAATGCTTGTCAGAGATGGTCGGGTGTGTGAACAGATTTGGGTGCAAGTGACCTGTGTTGTGGGATGGACCAACCAAGACCGTTTATCCATACTTCCGGAGAGTAGTCTTCAGCGCAACATGCTTGTGACCTATTCGCTCTGCCGAGTCGATAGGATGTAGGTGTGTTTGTCTGCACAGAGGGTGATGCTTGTTAGTTACCACCTACCCCAGCCTCCAGTTTAATTGCGTACACGCAGCGTTACACTGTTGAGTAACGGGTTTTCGGCCAACATAAATTGGTTGACAAGGTTTCTCCGTAGATGATTGTCGAGTGTGGAAATGCAACAGTGTGGTTCGCCGGTTAAGCACAGGTTACCGTCAAACCGCTTCGGTTGTGTAGGTCGCTTGGCGACCAAGTTTTGCTACCGAGGCTCCCAGTGATCATCTCATTCCGGTGGCCTCTCAGCTTCTCAATAGTTCCTCGGGGTATGCAAGCGGCGTGGGTCTGTCCAGGTAACAGGAGATGAGCCAAGGATTTTCGTGGACATTGATTGCGCGGAATATGGGGAGCCAGTAGGAGTGTGAGCGTAACTAGAGTCGTGTTAAGGTTCACAGTGTACTCCAGTTGATATTAACTGGAAGCCATTTAGTTAGTATGTAGCTGGCTGCATCTGAGATTGGTATGCTCCACATCGAATACTTGATTTGAGTATTGGTCCAGAGTTATGCGCTGTTGCGCATAATTGGTTTGGCATTCTTCCTTAGGTGCAGTATATGATGTGTTAGTCCAGACCTTAGCTATGGTGATCCTCCTAAAATTACTTGCTTGCAATCCTGTAAAATATCCCAGGGTACTTATTATCCTTGTGGGCTGAGCGTCAGGTAATATGAGATATCAATCTAGAGTTGGACCTTTCCTCAATGAACCGGTAGGTGGCTTGCGATTAATTTTGTTGAAACACCTGGAAATCACAATCGATCGATAATACGCAAGATATAGTAGTTAAGATTGATGAGAATATTAGTGTTGAAGATAACTTAGACAAAGAACCAACTAAGGGAAGTAGTGGGTTGTTAGTAACAGTTGAATATGAAACAGTCAAGTCGGCATAATAGAAATAAGATTATCGTGTGGACATCAGCAGCAGTTAAGCATCAAAAGTAGGTAAAATAATTTGGTCATGGGTGTATTCCTCTTGAAAGGAAAGGAGATTTACCACATCTTCCTGCTGTTCGTACAAGCGATCAGGTGCTCGCCACGAAACCGGGTTCTGGGTTTAGTCCTTGTTGAGGTTGCAGATGTGAACTGGTGAGGTGTCGCATACCCGGATGAAACAGTTGGTCAGCTCTCTTTGGCTTCTAATAGTTAAGTATCTGAGGTCATTCCATGACATGCGATATTTCTGTTTTCTGCGTCGTAGGCATGTAGGTTTACCAGATTCGCTGATCTAACTTCGCAAGGATCGCCTCTCATAATTGATATAAAGCCGTGTCAATCAAAAGTTACCACTTTATTGGAATACTCCCACATAGCATTTATCTTGGTCCACATTGATGCTGTTTCATTCGTTCTAATTTCGTCCCTTACCTTTCATAATGAGTTGTACTCCTCACGACATTCTTCCCATTCCTAATTATAAATTCATATTCATAATTATTCTTAGTGCCAATAATAATAGGGATAATAATAATAATTATTAATTCAACAATTAAAACAACGATTCCAAAAGTAGTTGAGTTCCATTCCATGTGGCGGGATGGCAGATGCTGATTCCAAAGGAATAACATAATAGGAAATGTTGTCCGTTGAAACATAATAATTTCAGATTTATAACTGTAGAGCTCGAAGTTGTCGAAAATCACCACTCACTCTAATACTCCATTCTTGATTATCATGCAGGGATTTTCATACCATATTTGAGTCATGAGTACCACGTACATGATTTGACTTTATTCGTGTTTGACAATCATGATCACGGTTTGAGAATCTTTGGTGAACAAACTCAATTGTTGTTGACCCCGTATGGATTTACTGGTCATTTAAATGACACTGACGTTGTGAAAAAGACTACTATGCTATATAAGCATCTTTCTACTAATGGAAACAGGTTATTGTTCGTGTTATTTAAGTCTGAGTTTCCGTTTTCGCATACCAACAATCTACAGTTATCCATTTCTTATTTTTTCCTTTTCTATTCACTCGTGTATAAAACACTAAAAAGCATACTGTTAAGTATGTTATTGCTATTCTTATGAATCACATTGTATATCTTTTTATATGCATATTTATTCGGTCGTACATATTGTACCTTATTCGCATGTGTATGTGCATTTCAGTATGCATTTGTCCGTTCATCTTATTTATTTGATACAAAAGCTGAGTCAAACTTTAATAATGTTCTTTGTTAGCAATGGTCAATATCCATAATACATCCATCTAATAAGTCTGATCGTTTGTTTGCGTTTAACAATATATGTGAAATATACGTATCTAGCTAAATTTCGTTCTTGGTATTTTTATACCATTCTTGTACCAATCGGTTTGTCAAAGTATTGCACTTAAAATTTAATGAGTATATATATATATTTCAAGTGGGGTGCGATGCGCCACAAATCCTATCAGTTGGTTGAGGAACAGTAAAAATACGTACTTAAAAATAATACAATAAGGGCTATTAGTTTCGAGAACTGACATCTTTTCATTATTAATACTAACTGTCAAGTTAGACTAGTCTTCATTGCCACATAGTCATGTTGAATGTAGACTTCGATAATCCATCACATTCACGCGTTGATCGTGATTTGATTGGTAGTGTAGAGGACAAGAACACCAATGGGGACAATCGAATGTGTTTAACACAAAATTACAGGAATTGTTAATAAAATCTAACAAACATAAAGTAAATACTTAATTTGCAAAATGTCCACCAATTGACTCAAAATGACTCAGACTTCATTGTTCCTGCATTTTCGTACAAAATGCATCCTGTTTCCATTCTTTACTGTTCGATCCTCTTGTCTCTCTACTACCAGACCTTCTGTCCACGACTAACATCATATACTACTTATGTCAATATAAGTAGCATATATTACAGTAGTAAAATCAATAGTTGAGATCATGAGTCAATTGAAGCTAGACCACCACGGGGAACCTGGAAGCACTGGACGGTCGTTTCATCCTTTCGATAGTAGTGAAGTATTAGTGCGTACATAAGCATTGGGGTTTAGATACATTCCAGCTAGGATTATCTATAACTACTACGATAAGTGTGTTTTAGATTCATCAGTTACTGATTATTCAAAATATAAGGTTTCGTAAAACACTAATTTATTGGCAAAAAGAGAAAAATTCGCATTATCTGTGAATGACTGATCATCAGTCAGATAGTACGATTTTAGGATTTTTAAAATTAAGTTCATTATTTCATTTCAATGACTTTCTTAACTTGAGTAGATGTTTCTCTTCCATAACTTTATTTTTGTTTAATACAACAACAAAAATGGTAACTTTACATATGACGCATATGTTCTATATGGAATATATCTGTACACTATGGTATCATGTTACTATTTCCTTATAAACATACATATATATATTTTTAAATTACTTAGATTCAACAGGAAAGTGTGGTCCTATTAATATATGTTAGAATGAATTTACTATGATGAGGGAAATATTAAGCAATGTTGATCTTTCAAAACTGTATAGTTAGAAGTTATCTTCATTCTGTGTGTGTTCTGTTTTGGCTAAAGGGCGACGGAGCGTGAGAGAATGGTATTCTGAACCGATTGTCGTTAAACATTGCTCTCGACTGTTATTTCACTTATCATAATGTCATTGGTTAGTTGGTCATTGTTACTAATTTAATACCTGATTTTAACTCCATAATGGTCGAACGATAATGATGTCAATGAAATATGCATACCACTCAACGTCATAAATATTTTGTCGACTTAACACGTATGGAACAATTGTATATTGAAATCCGAATACGAGAGCATTCTGAAATATATTCATTAGTGAAGACAGATGGTGAGAGATGTGAATTGAGAAAATAAACGTCCCTACCCTATGAATAATGAGTGAACCTGTCTTCATGTAAAACTGAATAGGGTTTAAATTACCGTTAACCAATTAGAGTATGAATGATATAAACATAAGGCAAGCTAAAGAAAAAGTGAATATAATCCAGTTGATTAAGTTACATATGAGAAAATACACAGTAAAGTCATAAAATACCTGACGACGTTAGAATGACATATTTAATGGCCGGATTACCTATGGATGTGATAGAAACCGTTATACTATATAATTTGAATGAAATAATTAACATTTAGACTAGAAAATACACCTGCTCTTTTGTAATCATGGCCCCATATAGCGGGCCCCTATACAATCCATGTATGTTTTTACTTACGCCTGTTACTCCCAATGGAGCATAGGCCGACGACCGGTATTCTCCAACCCACTCTGTCATGGGCCTTCCTTTTCAGTTCTATCCTATTTTTGTTCATTTTCCTCATGTCTGTCTCCATTTCTTTGGTCTTCCTCTTCTCGTTTGGCCTTGAGGATTCCAAGTGAGGGCTTAATTGGTGATGCATTTGGGTGCTTTCCTCAATATATATCCTATCCACTTCAAATTTCTTTTCCTGATTTCCTCCTCAGCTGGAACCTGATTTGCTCTTTCCCATAGTAGTTTAATGTTGATGGTATCCAGTCAACAAACATTGAGTATCTTGTGTAGACAACCGT